ATGCAAGCAGGACGGACATCGCAAGGACAAGTGTGAGCAAAAACCCAACCCCGGATTTCAGAAAGCCGAAACGAAAATAAGAATGGGCAAACCGCCCGGAGTCGTAATCAAAATGTATGTACACAGATGAAGAGGGGGAAGAGACAAGAAAACAGCAAATCCACGTCCATCGACCTCAACTCTCTCCTTTCTCTCTTTCTCTCCGATGCGGAAAGTCCGTCGTCACGCACCAACCCCTGAAGTTGTCACCCCGCTTAGTCCCCCCGCACCCGTCGGATTCGCCCGTGCCCACAGTCCGTCGTGGCCCACGTCAATCCCGTGCGTTCGACACCAGCCCGTCGGGTCGCCCAACTCCTACTCTACTCACCTCTTACTTCGCTCGTATGCCGACTTTTCTTGATCGCGCAACCCCGAGCTTCCAACAACGGGTTAAGAGAGTTGACTAATCGCGCAGCCGAAATTTATAGTGTGCATGCATGCGCGAAGAACACAGAATTACCAGGACTTAGAGTGAGGATTAGAGAGGGAACGTCTGCATTCTGCATGATCGGCCGCCGCGTGGGGGACGTAACCCTTCTCCACGCATCGATCCGAGCATGCAAGCCGCGGCTTACAAAATTTCAGCAAAAGAAAGAGAGGGAGGGAGGAAGAGACGAAGTGCAAGAAGAAAGATACAGTTACAATGACGCCCGCCTAAAATTACAGTTACACACACGATTAAGGGCACCCACTAATCAGAGTACCGTTGCGGCCGCATGAAGAAGCGCGTAGACAAAAGGCGCCACGCGGCAGGAAAAATCCTAATTACTAAATTCCTAAATTCCTATCTAATGCGAAAAAGCAAAAAGAAGCACGAATTCCAGAAGGAAAGTCCAAAATTCCGAGAGCCATTGGGGGCTCGACAAAATTCGAAAAAAGATTCAAAAAGGAAATTAAAAAAAAAAAAACAAAGCAATTTCACACGCGATGTCCGCGCCCAAAAGATCGAAATCGAACCGAAAGAAACGACGTCAACCTTTATTAATCACGCGCGTGGTGGCGCGCCAGACATTCATCCGACCAATCACTCCACCGGCCGTCCCAAGACACACCCGACCCTGTGCTTGGCTATTCGAAAAAGAAACGACGAAAAAGGACGAAAAAACGAGGACACTGATGCAATTCTCCACCGATCCCGATCTCCCGTAATTGGCCCAATCTTCCCAGCTTAGGACCCCTCATTGCAACTGCGCAGAAAATCGCATATTACAGAAAGTGGTTCGTCACATATGTGACGCCCAGGGGGTTCCAATATTAGCAAGCTCCTGCTTGCTTGTTCACATGTGTCGATTTCTTTAATTGATCGACACGAGGAGCAATTCTCTGTATGCCACTTACCGTTCGATTGTGTGTGGACGTCATCCAATCGTGGCAACTCTGCTCTTCTACTAGTTCCTCAGATTGGGCTCTTTGACGATCCAAGGACGTGATCTTTCTCGTGCCGTCGCCGCGACACTCGTCCATTACCGCTGCATCAGTAATTAACCGGAAGGGGGAAGGGAAGGCCATACGGGTATGAGGGAGGGCGGGGCGGCTCCATCGCAAGCTCGGGTATGAAGCGCCCGATCGCAGTGAGGTCGTAGGGAAGTTCTTGAAAACGGACAATGCGATGGAAGCGGGGGAATCTCTGGCCGCTGCGGGGAAGGGAAGCGAGGTAGTCTGGGTAAAGGGATACGAGGGTTCGGAGGATGTCTGTGCGGAACCGATCATGGTTCTCGCACGCAGGGAAGGTCCCCGTAACGATGCAGTAAACCTCTATATGGTTACGGCCTCGCCACGCGGCGCTAAGGAGCAGAATGTGGAGGGAGTAGTCGGGGACAGCATACCGAACGGAAGGGTGGGGGTGGACAGTCAGTTCTAGGCGGGCGGAGTAAAAATGTCGGAAGGTGGCGATGGGGAAGGGATTACGGGGGTAGACGACGCGATGGAAGTACTGATTGAAAGAGAGATAGCTAAGGGGATGGTGGTATATGGATCGAGGACGAAGGGCTAAGCCCCTCATTGACACGTTGACGAATTGGGGGATGGGCGGAGGCGGAGGGGGACGTGGATCGAGATCGGGATCGACACCTTGTCGTCGCGGCTCCCGAGGTCGTGGCAGCAAGGTCTTCATGTTCCGGCTTGGGCGGCTCGGGATCCTTGAAAGGATCGTTCGGTGCTGGATCGATCCTCAGCCGCTTTCCTTCCGCGATCTCTTTCTTGCGCTGCACAGCAGCCTCCGGGTTCTCCTCTCGCCGATCCGCCCAGCGCTCCTCGATACAAGCCGACCACTGGAGGCTCGGGGCGAGAATCCTTGGAAGGGTATGTGGCACGGGTTCTTCGTCGCTCTGAGAGACGATGTCGACAGAGAGTTCGTCGGCCAATCACGGGATCACGATCGTAAGTTAGCGCACGATCTGTGATCGGTTTCCTCGATCCACTGCTCCAAAGACGAATCCCAGAAGATCTCCCGCCACGTTGGTCCTCCACACCTGAATGACGAGCAACTCCACAATCTCCGACGCGGGCCTCTGATCGCCTTCCCACGTCCAGCTCAGATCCACTCGTAGCAGGCAAAATGAGAGCTCGACGAATTTTGCACGCCACAGCCTCCAACGGTCCGGATCAACGATGGGTACTATCAGCGGCTCCAGACGGAAGGAGAGACGAGGGTCGTGAGAGGACTGTCAGAAGATGGGGAAGAGGGAGGGAGGAGAGAACGTTGAGATCGGCGCGCGGCTCATCTGCGCGGCTGGAAGGGAGCAAGTTTTAGGAGGACGACAGGTGGCTCGCGTAGCGTCGTGCGCAGCGTGTTGACTTCGATGTCGTCGACAGGATAACACTTGTCACCGTGCCTTGTGAGCCGTCGATCCCAATCAGTAGCCAGATCGCGACCCCATCGGTACAAGGTGCTTTGGATGGCGGCTTGCCGCGCCGGATCGAAGGCGGTGATGTCGCCGCTGAAGACTACCACTGTAGACACGTGGCTGATTCCCGGGGTCGCTCGCCATTGGAACGTCGTTGCCTCGGCCAGCACCATTACCTGGGGATCGTTCGAGAATCGGAACTCTGCCGCGCGGTATACACCCGCAGTGCAGAAGAACTGCGCAAGGCGCATGAAGTCGGGGCTGATCCGCAGATGATGCACTTGGCGGATGGCTGAGATCTCTCCCCGTGGCATCAGCAACTGATCACTGAAAGCTCGCTCGATGGCGAAACTCATGGCGATGGCGGGGGTGACGGGGTGGCAGAGAGGCAGCAAGAAAGGGAGGGAGATGGCGGAGAGTCCGAGCCGTCGTCGTCGGCTTCCTCAGAAAGAGAGATCGAGGGAGAGGGAGACGGAGCAGAGGGAAGGAGGCGAAGATAGGACACGTGGCGTG